AAAGAGTACATAGAGATGGAGGTAGAATTGCAACATCCAGGAAGGTTGACCACTGCAACGAATGGCAAGGTATATGAACGGAGAACAGCATGTAATGCGGTTGAATTGGAATAGATGTCCAAAGCAGCCCCAACAGTCACTCAAGTTCATGATCAGTTCCATGAAGGCTATTTAGAAACACTTCGATGGGCTCTCTAGGGATTTCTTTTGGAAGAGTTTGAAATCTCAAGTTCGAGATTTTTTTTGTTCTTGTTTGGTTTGCCAACGACATAAAGTGGAGCACTTGCATCTTGCTGGGTTGTTACAGCCATTGGGATTTCCTTTTCAAGTTTGGCTTAACTTTGGGAAGATATTTCTTTGGACTTTGTAGGTCTTCCCACTTCTCAAGGGAAAAATGTTTTGTTTGTGGTGGTAGACAGGTTCTCCAAGTGTGGATATTTTATTCCTTTTCCCATCCTTATGCGACCGTTACTATGGCCAGACTATTCTTTTGATCACATCTTTAAATTGCATGAGTTGCCAGAGTCCATTGTCAGTGATTGAGATGTAGTTTTCACTAGCTTGGTTTTGAAGGAACTCTTTGCACCGTGGAACTAAACTGGTTTTTAGTTCAGTATATCATCCACAATCTGATGGTCAAACAGAAGTTGTCAATGGAACAATTGAAATGTATCTCCATTATTTCACAGGAGATCATACAATGGAGTGGGTTCAATGGATTTCTTGGGCTGAATACGCTTATAATACAGGATATCACTCTTCCTCCAAGGCTACTCCATTGAAGTTGTTTATGGGAGACTGGTGCCAGACTCCTCTCTTATTATCTGAGACTTTCTAAATTGGAAGCTGTTGATTGTGAGCTTAAGGACATGGACAAGGTCCTCCACGCTTTACGAGCTCAATTGTTGCAAGCTCAACAAAGGATGAGACAACTTTATGATAGTAGTCATTATTAAGTGTTGTTCCAAGAGGGTGACTTGGTTCTTTTGAAGCTTCAACCATATCGACAGATTTTACTGCATCACAAGAGCGTGCAAAAGCTGTTTTCCTGTTTTTATGGGCCTTTCAATGTCGTGCCGAGGATTGGTGAAGTTGCTTACAAACTAGACTTGCCACTCTCCTCTAAATTGCATCTAGTTTTCCATCTTTCTTCTCTCAAAGCCTTTCATGGACAGCAAGGTGTTCCTTCCACTCTTACCTTTGTTCATCATGGAATTCCTCATCCTTCACTTCAATCTCAATTGGCTCCCTGAACTCACAATGGTCAGCATAAAGTTCTCATTCATTAGGAAAGTCTATTGCCAGTTGATGCCTCTTGGGAGAGCTATGGAGTTGGGGACCATGTAGACATTTTGCTAAGCTGTATATATTTTCTACACGGGCACTCTTGGTGCCTATTAATATAATTATACTTTTTATTTTTTTTTTTAAAAATGCCTCTTGGGACGCACTCACATGCAACTACACTATCCTCATCTTGTGCTTGACGACAAGCGCCGCCTCAAGGGGGGGGGGGGGAGTGATGTTCGGGGCAAAATAATTCCTTACCTGAAGGTTTATCAAAGAAGGAATAAAAAGGAATAATCTTGTGTAATTGCTTATCTGGTGTGTTAGTTTAAATGTTATTATGTAATGTTTATGTAAATATGTTTAATTAAGTGTTAAATATATATATTATAGTGGGAATAAGTCTATTATAAGATAAGGGTAGTTTAGGTAATTCCATAAATTCAAGAATTACAGAATTAACTACACTCTTTGTATATATATCCTTTGTTGTGGGAGAAAAACAGCATTATGTCTGAAATTATCCTTGAATGGAGAGCACTTTCGCACTCTGGAGATTGTAGGTTCTCTCTATCCAATGAATCCTAATTATTTCTTAATTTCTAAAGATATCTAAAGGCAGAAAATGAAAGAAAAACGTTATTCTACCTACTGATTTTGTTGTGAATCGTCCCATAACATGATCATAAGTAGGGATCATAACACCATCCTGTATTATGAATATCATATATGTGTTTTGTGATTTTGAGTTAAATTGTGCTGCATAGTATTTTGACCATTTTATGTGTTTTTTTAGCGGGATTTACTTTTAATGAAATGTTTGTTTCTAAATTTCAGAAAAAATCCAGTACATTAGAGTTTGAGTTTTTTGGATTAGTTGGTGCAAGGATTACTTCTTTTACGCTGAGGGTGGACAGATCTTTAAATTTTATAATGATTGAGGAATTGGCAATAGTGATTTTGATACAAGGCAAAACTTGTCTCCTATTTATACAACTCTAAATACTCTCGGACTAACCATATTAACTGTTTGCCACTGTGGTTAACTGTTTACATCCGAAGGTAGCCAACTGCTTTAAGTTTATTGCTACTTAATTTAAACCATTTCAACTGATAGTGTTGACTTCTTGTTCTTATGATACATGCTCTCTGTTGTGTCTGCCATATGCTTGCTGATTTGCCTTTGAGGCTTCTCTGTTGAGTCTGCCATAAGCTTGCTGACTTGCCTTTGACGCTTTCTTATTTAATTCACTTTTCTTATGCATTGTGTCCTGATTGGAGTTCAAAGAATAGGTAGGAGATCTATTGATTAATGAAACTGACAAATCTTACCTCCTGCTATTAGGGTTTCCTACTCGATAGATGTGTTTCCTCTTAAAATGCATCTTATTCAGGATTTTTTTTTTGAGAATAGTTGTTGAACTTACCTACCATAATGTTCTGCTCTTTTCCCTCTTATTGGTTCCTATTATCTTTTAACTCTTTCTTTAGGTGATTTTCTTTCTCTTTGCGACTGGGTTTGCCTTTAGCTGGACATCTGTGTTACTCATGCATAGTCATTGCACTTGTTCCTATAATATGTATTGGATATGAGTTTAATATGATCAGTCAAACAAGGGCATAAATATAAATTTGAGTGTGAATGAGCATCGCCACTGGGCGAGCTTGCCATCTGTGTTACTCATGCATAGTTGATGCACTTGTTCATATAGTATATGTGCTGGATGCAAATTTAATCTGATCAATTGTATACCAGGGCAGTAATATACTTTTGAGTGCGGATGAGCATTGCATTGGGCGTCTGGTAGATGATTTACGCTTTCAGATTGAATCTACTGCTGTCAGTGCAAATCATTGCAAAATATATAGAAAGGTCATTGTGGAAGATGTGGAGCGTACCTCTGTCTTCCTAAAAGATACTAGGTTGTCCATTGTTCATCTTTTTTCAGACTTTGATCCATTTCTGGTTATAATATGTATTCAGCTTGTGATATTTTCAGTACAAATGGAACATATCTTAATTTGGGGGAAGTTGAAGAAGAATGGCCCTGAAACAAAAATTTGTCATGGTGATATTCTGTCATTGGCTGCTCCTCCTCAACATGGTAATCTCATTCTCTCACCACTTCAGACATTCTGGATTTTAATGATTGAAATTGCTCC